GTCTGTTGACAGTTGAGTGTTGTCTCTCTCTCTGCGTCTCCGAGACGCGAGAGAGAGAGACAGAGAGAGGCGCGGAGGCCAATTCCCCTAACGCGTGCGCCACACACACCCGGCCACGAGCTAGCCTGTACGGTGCAGCGCACTGCACCACATGCACATGCTCATGTGGCAGACTAGCGACCAAGGCCGCGATTGGAGTTATGTTGGAGTTATGTTTGCGCCGCTGCTCGGCTCCCGCGTGGCCGGCAGCTCGGCCGCGCCCCACAGAGACACCGCGCTGCCGCCCTTGCCTTTGCCCTCCTCGACGGCCCCGGCCTCTACCTCACCGGGGCTGGCGCTCAGGCGGCCCTCGGCACCGAACTCCGCCTCCACGTCGCCAGTTGGCAGCAGCGCGACGACCAGCGCGGCCAGCAGCGGAAGCAGGCCGAGGGTCCAGCCGACCCACACGCTCCAGGCGGGCAGGAAGCCCTTGCCCGCGGGGAAGGGCGTCGACGACGCCGCGTCCATGATGTCCCATTTGTTAAGCGACATGGCGACGACGACGACGAGCAAGGCGGGGCAGATGAACTTCCAGCTCACCGTGTGCGTCCACCCCACCGTCTGGCCCGTCCACTCCTTCACCCGCCGCCGGAAGCCGAGCCAGACGGAGCTTCTGAACCAGCACACGCCGAAGCACTCCATGCCCGTGACGAAGAACATGGCCACCACGCAGGAGTAGCTGTCCATCAGCTCGAACCAGTAGATGCCACTCCGAGTCACAAAGATCAAGCCGAGGAGGTAGGAGAGGACGCACACCACGGCCGACAGCTTTGGCCGCGACAGCCCGCCGCCGACGCCCGCGTCGCTCAGGACGGTGACGATGCTCTCGACCATCGCGAACTGCGAGTCGATCCCGAGGCAGAGGAGCATCACGAAGAAGAGCATCGCCCAGAAGAACCCGCCCGGCATGCTCGCGATGGCGATGGGGAAGGCGACGAAGGCCAGCCCCGTGCCCGACAGACCGACGGACGCCAGCCCGCTCAGGTCATCGCTCCGGATGCACGGGTTGTACTGCGAGAGCTCGTGCGCCAGGTAGCCGAGCACCGGGAAGACGACGAAGCCGGCGAAGATGGAGGTGCCGCAGTTGATCAAGGACACCTTGGTCGCGTCGCTCAGAAAACGGTTGTGCTTGCTCCCGTACGAGGCGAAGGCGATGAGCGAGCCGAAGCCCACCCCGAGGGAGTAGAAGATCTGCGTCACCGCGCGGACCCAGACGGTAGCGTCGAGGAGCACGCTGAAGTCGGGCTTGACGAAGAAGGTGACGCCCGTCGCCGCGTTGGGCAGCGTGATGGCGCGGAAGAAGAAGACGACGAGGGCGACGTAGGGAAGAGTCGCCGTGACGTACACGACCTTGCCGCTGCTCTGCACACCGTTGTAAACGCAGAGGTAGACGAGGATCCACGCGACCGAGAAGGCGCCGAGCATGCCCCACTGGAACCCGCCCAGGTCGTCCATGCCGCTGCTCTGCTGCAGCACCTGGTTCTGCCAAAAGTCGAGGGCCGAGTGTCCTGGACACTCTGACGGCCTGACTTCGACCTGCACGAACCCGGCGGGGATCGCGGTATCGTTGGCCTCGCTGCGGGCGATCGGGTCGACGTGGTGCGCCACGGCGTCCGGGTCGACGGTGGAGAGGCTGCCGGCGGACGGGCACCAGAAGTCGTCCAGGTGGGACGCGTTGAAGCGGCCCGTGGCATTGTTGAACAGGGTGGGCAGCCCAGCGAGCTCGGCCGGGACGACGAGCGTGGTCAAGGGGCAGTCTCCGCCGAGGTCTGCCCAAGGCAGCTCGCCTCCGCGGAACATGGCGCCGACCGTCCGGCCGATGTAGTAGACCGTCCACGCGAGGATCACGTTCTGCGGGCGAGGCGAGGCGAGGCGAGGTGAGGCGAGGCGAGGCGAGGTGAGGCGAGGCGAGGCGAGGCGCGTTGTGGCGAGGGTAATCTCACGTAGTAGAGCGAAACGAAGAAGGTGCAGAGCGTCGCCGCCACGCCGACGCCCCGAAGCCTTGGGAGGCCAAGCCGCGACCACATCCCGAGGGTTCCCTGTCGGAACATCTGGCCAAGCCCGAGCTCGAGCTGGAACAGAGGGAGGCCGAGCAGCATCAGGGAGAGGAGGTACGGGATGAGAAAGGCGCCACCGCCGTGCTCGTAGGCGAGGTAAGGGAAGCGCCAGATGTTGCCCAAACCCACAGCGTACCCGACGAGGGTGAGCATCAGCTCGAGCTTGCTGGCGTACTCCGGTCGCGACTCCGTGACGGCGTCACCATGCGCGGCCATGGTTCGGGCGGGGGCACGCTACCCAGCACAACCGGGACGGGGTGTGCTGCACGCCTTACCTGGTCGCGGCAGCAGCCACAAGGACGTGTAAGTAGGAGGACGGACGGGCCGAGCTATTTTTTCCCCTTTCGTTTCCAGCTCGACGGGAGAACTTTGCTTTAGGTATATTGTTTTAGGTATATTGCTTGGCCTTGAAAAAAAGGCAGAAAAAAGTTGAACCGCACGCCCCTGCCTGCGGCGCGATTTTCGCGAATTTTAGAATTTTACAACAAAACTCCCTCGCACAACACTGGGCACGGGACTGGCTAGGCCCCAAATGACGCGTGAGTGTTAGATGTGTGGGGTCCGTTTCTCCCTCTCTCCCTCTCTCCTCCCTCTCCTCCCTCTCCTCCCTCTCCTCCCTCCTCCCTACCAAATTTGGTCTGTCTCCGACCCTGATAGTTCTAGAGCGATGTTGCCTGACTTGGTCGAATCTAGATGTGTGGGGTCCGTTTCTCCCTCTCTCCCTCTCTCCTCCCTCTCCTCCTGTCCTGCCTCCTCTCTACCCGGGTACCCAGGGTTCCCACTTTTTCCGGGGTATGTGGTATGGTAGGGTCGCGCATGCCAGCTCAAGACCATACCCCCCCGCCTGCTGGCAGACCTGCTTGGGGGTATGGTAGGGCTAGTCTTGGGCGGGCAGGACCATACCCCCTACCCCTTTGGCCTACCATACCATACCCCGGAAAAAGTTGGAACCCTCGCTGGTATCTCACAAATACTTGATTTTTCCAGGCGATCGGATTTTTCCGCGCCCTCGAAATTCGTAACAATCGCCTCGCCGCTCCACAATGCCTTTCTCCGTTGCCTCCAGCCGCGCGGCGCCATCGTCCTCGATCCAGTGCCGGCCTGTGACAAGCTTGGCAGCTCGCGGATCGACGATCGCCACGAGCTGCTGCCCGGCGACCGCCGCTCGCCTTCGACGACAGTCGTAACAATCGGCGGTGAGCGGCACCTCCTTGGCCCAGCACCGGTGTTATCACGTCTCAGCTGCTTCATTGCCATGTCCAGTTATGGCGGAGACGCGCTGATAGCATTCCTGTGCACGCAGTTGGACCAGCACGGCCATCGGGTGCGTGGCGCAAAAAGACCTGTTGCG